GCAGATATGTGGCTAACAGATAACACACTCTCCTGTATTTTTCACTCAGAAACTCACAGCAAAAATACACGTGCTAAACAAAAAAAAGACATTTTTTCATCGTGTTAACACTAGACACGTTTTTTTTTGTTTTGTTTTTTTTTACTTTTCACAGTTGAGAAACATGATTTATGTACCTGTACTTGAAACCGAAAGATACGACTTTGTTATATGTTTGTCTTATTATTGTTTCTGTATTCATAATCTTAACAGCTAGCTAGATGATTAGATCAGATCAAGATACCTGCTGTATGGTGGTGTTAAATCCAACTTTATGTCCCTGTTGTTGAGAAGTAGGTGTGGGATATCGTGTCAGATAAATATAGATCCCGTCCCACCAAACGTAATCGCTCTTTCAGCCGTGGGGCGTTATAATGTCCCGGTCAATCCCACTAGTCGTTGGTAAAAGAGTAGTCCAAAAGTTGGCGGTGGATGGTGATGACTAGCTGCCTTCCCTCTAGTCTTACAGTACTAAATTATGGACGGCTAGCGCAGATAGCCCTCGTGTAGCTTTGCGCGAAATTCATAACAAACCAACAAATATAGCTAATATCAGGACTCACCCGATATATGCTAGATATCAATTAATTTGACATATGTTGTTGAACAGCCATAACTACTAATAGCAATAAATGTTGCCTAGGGGTAACATGTGGCAGTATAGAGGCAAGTTATTAGTATATATTCATCATTGATTAAGCCTTTTCTTGTATTTCAGGTATACTGGTTCGGCCCTCTGGCGGGAGCCGTTGTGGCAGGCCTAATCTACGAGTATATCTTCGATACTAAGAAGACTGCCAAAACGTTGAAAAAAGCGCTAAACGAAATAGACAGAGGTATGATCCATAACATTAAGTGTATATTTTTAAAATAGATATTGTTTGTTTCAGGTCTGCTCTTGAAACTGTAAACCAAAGGTTATCCAACTTACGAATACTTTCTGTATACCCAAAATTTTGATTGTACAATAACTCGTGTCTACATGACTTTTAGCTGTTTTTTTTTCTATTATACATAATACAACCAGAAAAGTATTAAAAAAACTACTTAGGATATTTTGACGATTGAAGCGGCCATTTTGAAAAGTACATTATTTTGGTTTCAGATGTGTACATTACACGAGATTATGGTGAGTTATAGATCTGTAATAAACCCATTATAACTTAGAATTAAGGTTCTCCATGTGTATGTTGGTCCTAGAGTCGAACCTCGACGAAGACGATTATGAAGATCCTGAAAGGTGCCAGATGACCAAAGCCAGAGGTCCACAGGCGTCCGAAGAGTTTCAGGCTCAGTGTTACGACCAAAACTTGAGGCCCAGCACCCCTTCTACTTACCCAGCTTCCACAGAATCCACCTACAGAGCGCACAGCGCCCCCACGTCCAGCTACGGAGAAATCAGTGGGCCACGGTTTGGAGGTGGCTTTAGGGGTGTGCCAACCCGTATGGAATATGACGCTGGGTCCGCGAAGTTTTGACCTTTTCATCCCAGAACTTTATAATAGCGGGGCGATATCAAAACCCAGAATCAAAATGATGAAAGTGTTACGTCCACCATGTTTAAACTGCAGGTTTACCAAACTCGCCACCTACACTACGATTTAACATTTACTTTTTAACTGGAATTAATCTTTCGATGTTTGTAGTCAGAATAATCTTGGTGCCAAAAACCGGTTTAACGTCGGTTTTCTGTCTCTACTGGCCAAGACTGTAACAATTCAAACCAACTGAGCGAACAGCAACGACAGAGCAAGTTTCTGGGGGGCGAAAAAATAGGTACGAGACTTTTTAAAAGTTCTAAAAATGTTATTTATGACATTAACTAAGTTTGGGCGTTTTGAGAATACAAACATGGCTTCGGTAAGTCGTTTTTTTTTCTCTCTCTCTCTCTTAAAAGTTTTAGCGTTGTTTGACTGAAATGTTTAAACAAATTTCACAATTTTTTTAAATGGATCCAAATTGTTGACAATCATGAGTAAGATATGTGAGTTTTTTGTTGTTTTTTTTATTTGATTGCTGCGTTCCATGTTTTTCATACAACATTGCTAACCTGGTTAAGCCTAAGTTTTTCATATAATATTGCTAACCTGGTTAAGCCTAAATGCGAAAGTAAACTGTTAGGGTCATACGGTAATATAAAAACAATGGATATGACGGACATAATTTGGTTGAAATACTATTATATAATTTAAAAAACATGAGGGACTGACTAAAGAATGAACTGATTAAAATATACTAGGCCTGATACTAATGTCGTATAAGTAATGATAAATTATATATATATTTTAGGATTTTTCTCGAATTTTCTACTTCTTTGATGAAGTCTTTATCGTTTAGTTTCAAGATTTACGTCTGCAGTAGTCCTCAGGTGAGTTAGTGGTAAACTTAGGGACTTACAACCTTAAAATCCAGTGTTTGATTACCTGCAGTAGACAGATAGCCTATTGTGTAGCTTTAGACTGAAGCTTTGAAAATCATTTTAATTTATAGATACAAAACTTGTCTTTGTTATTTTTTCTTTACACTTGCTGCTAAAAATCTCAATATAATTTGTTGAGAAACTTTTTTTATAGGAGGCGCTATTGCTATTCTAATCACCGGAACTTGATAATGCTCAACAACGTCGTCGTCAACGCATTTCTTTTTAATACCTAATTGTGCAGGTACGTTACAAAACAAAACTACTAAGTTTAGGACACAAAGCAGGGCTGTGCACGCGTTTAAAGGTTATGTAACATTCTAACTCTTGGTACAAATCTCAAGTAATTTGTTGTATAAAGTTAGTGATTTCTTGACCTTTACATTCTTAAATTCTTTAGAGCATCAAACATCGCTTCCATTGTAAGTTAACAGTTCGTAAGTAAAATAAACCAATTATTAATTTCATAATTTGAATCATCACTATAGCCAGTCTCCAGGTGGGTCACCCATAAAAGATAAAACATACCACAAACACACTATAGCCATCTGTTGTCTTTTTTAAAAACTAAATTGACGAGTAATGACTTACTGAATTTAAATATATTTCCGCATGTTATACAAAGATAACATAAACTAGCAATAAAAGCATATACTGTTAAAATATGTTTTGGATTTTTATAGTAGTTGTTTATAGCTACCATCCAAATAATTGTAGTAAATATCTTTAAAACTAGTTACCCCGAAGACAGCCTGGAGGGGGGGCACATGTTTTAACCATTCATACCACTGTACAGTAGTGTGTTGTCTGTCAGTCAGTCAGATGACATTAAAATGACGCTTAATGTTGCAATTTGTACTGTCGTGACGCCAGTAAAACGTGTACATGCCATGAATCACGAGAAAAATTATGAACTTTATAGGCTACAACAGGGCATGACGTATAAACTTCAAAAGCAATTAATAAAAATATTTGTTACTTTTAATTTGGCAAATACAATGGTTTCTTTCAATTTTGACTTAATTCAGGAGTGAAAATGCTCATCAAATATTTTGGAAATATGTTACCACTTACGAACTATTAGCTATAGATTATTAAAGAGTGAATGATATTGTTCGAAGTGTATTTAGGTTTATGGTACTACAGGCTATTAGTTTTATCTTGTACTGACATCTTAATTGTTTTCCTAAATACTTCATATACGTATATTTAAGTCATTGAGTTACGTGAATTTTAATTCTTAATAAAAATTACAATTTACTAATTCTTTACGCGTATTTCGTAAAACCAGAGATAAAAGTGGTTAAAAGTTATTTTGGTTGTTAATTTTGAGTATTTTTAGATTTAATGCTACCCTAAATTGAACGAAACTCAATGACATGAAACAGAACAAGTTTAACTGTATAAAAGTTAGGGTTATGTGTCGAGTGCAATAAACTTTTAATTCCCACGTACTTTTTTTTTTTCTGGTTTCACAAATAAATCAACTTTTAAGTATTTAATATTTTTGACAATGATATTAGTAGAACAGAACCAGATATTGCCACTATTTTTTTAATCTGGATTAACAATGATTTGGTTTAGAATAAAAAGTAAAGAGAGAAACAAAGAATTTTGTCATTTACGTTCCACATGGATTAATATAAACTTTAAACAATTATTGCATCCTGTCGCCAAGAGATTTACCAAAGCGCCATCTGTGAAACAGCGGACAAACTAACGCATGCTGCCAATGGAAACGGTACTCACGCGAAAGAGCACAGCGGTTCAATGATATGACTTGGAGTACAAACATACGAAAGTAATGCAAAAAAAATTCATTTTGTTTTTCACTGTTTAAAAATTAGAAAGTACGAAACTAAACTTTGTCAATTTTATAAAGTTTAGTTTCGTACTTTCTGATTTTCATATTTACGGTAGTAGGATCAAAAAATAGTTTTCAATATCAATTCTTATTTTTTGATATGAAGTTTACTAATAAATTCGCAAAGTATGGGTGTACAAAGATTGGACGAAATACCCATGTAAACAGCAGCGCCACCAGGAAGAAAATAAAATCCTAGTTTATCCCATTAGTTTTTAACTAATAGAGCCAATTCCAGAGACTAAAAAGGATGCTCTTTCATCAAAGATTTTATTCAGAGAGTATACGATACTGAGATCATCAATACAACGACGATATTAGGTCTTGTCAACAGTAGTTACACATTATAAAATATAAGCAAACATCAGTCTAAAGTTCGCATAAAACCAGTTTGTTTTTTCATCAACAGGTTGGCGTAACTTTAGACAGAATTTATAAAATAAGTTACGTCTGAAAACGGCTAAAACAAACACTTTGGAGGCGAATCAACCATAACCTCACCAATACAAATATAACTATTCCTCATAACCTCATGGGGGTGTCTATATACATAACTTAATTTTTCTGGTCAGACAACAATATTTTAATATTCCTGTAACAAATTATACTTGTGTGTGTATATTTATACAAAAATATCAACTTTCAGTGGTAGCAGACTAACACGCACTACTTTCAACGCCTTAAATGCTAGGGATGGAATTTTCTTTCTTCAATCTTGGAATAAGATAAAGTAAATATTTTATTTATAGCGGGTCCTGTTATTAAACCTCACGATCAAGAATATTTTTACTTCACCTAGCGACGAAATAACGCCTCATGTCACATATACGCATGCGTAAACCAGGATGTATCAATGGCATAGTCATCGTATGTATGGTAGAGCTCTTAACAATAAACTTTAACGTGGTAATAAAACAACGGTGCTTATATTACAGGTATAAAATCTGAAAGCTCCACTTTTAAAGCTATTACATTATTAGAGCAAATTGGTCTAGAGAAGAATTTACATCTAAACGTGTGGGTTTCAACATTACGTCACAGACCACAGTATCAAGTTAACAATGACACAGAATTATCTGGTACTAGTTTCACTGTTTTCATTATTAATAAAATCTCTCAAGAGTACAGTCTTGATTAGTGGAAACACAATAGCTTATTCTATCCAGTCTGTTTCCACTTCTTCGAAAAATACATTAAAAGTTAAAATCATAAATAATATTCAACGTTAAACTGGTACACAATTAAAAACATT